GCAGGCAGCTAGATGGGTGGATGGTTTGAGAGCTGCTGGGAGAAGCCTCCATCCTCCAGGTCTTAGAGGCCACCCGTGTCCAGATCGGGTGGGCAGACATCCCCTGCCCCCCCGCCAGCGAATCCTTGCAGATTTGTAGCAGAATGTGCACAAGTGAACAAATGAAAGGCAGATGCTAATTCCTCCTCGGGGCCCCGGGCCAGAAGCTTAATACCTCCTACAAATCCAGTTCCCTCCATCCTAAAGCAATGCCATTCTTTTCTTCCCTATGTCTGTCCATCTGTCTGTCTGTCGGTCTGACTACCCGCCCAGTTGTGCTGTACTCGGTGCAGATCTTCACAGGAAATGTTCCCGGGGCAGGGACCGACGCCAAGGTCTACATCACCATCTATGGAGATCTGGGGGACACCGGGGAGCGGTACCTTGGCAAGTCAGAGAACCGTACCAACAAGTTCGAGAAAGGAACGGTACGTGGGGCACACAGAGTTTACCCCTTCCCCTCCCCTCCTGGGTCCAGTGGTCTGGGGTCAGCTCCTCTTGGTGCCAGAGGCTGTCCGTGAACCTTGTGCGGTGTCATGCTCCCTCGTGTGGGCATTTACCCTTGGCGCTTCCCCCTGCAGAGTGGCTGGTCCCCTCTCTGAGCCTGTGCGTGGGCCCTGGGTCCTGATCTGGGGTGGAGGTAGAGCAGAAGGTGGGGCTTGTCTGAGGCCTGTTTGAACCCCAGGTTGCTGGCTGTCTGGGGGGTCAGGGGAAGTCATCATCAGAAAAGTCAGCTCACTGTGGGCGGGTCACCAGAGTGGCGGGAACTGCCCCATCTCCGGGGCTGGAGGCCTGCTCCTACCATCAGCTCCTGATCTGGTTGACCCTCTCTGGATTTGGTTTCCTCATCTATAAAATGAGGAGCCTGATGTGAATGGGCTAAGCTGTGCTGAGCAGAGCTCTGGGCAGCACCGAGGCCCATGGGAGCCGCGGAGGGATCAGAGGAGCAGGCAAGTACCCCATTGCCCCAACTGGAGTCCACTTGGACCTGGACTATCTATTGGGGTGCCAAGAAAAGCCTCTATTAGGCAAAGGGCTCTGACATACTGTGGTTTTAGGAAAAGGAAGGCATCTGTCCCAACTTCCTTCCTAGCAGCTTGGCTTCCCTCTCCCACTGTGGCTCAGCGGTCTCCGGGGCCCTTTCTGCCTCACCTCCTTCATTCAGCCTCAGCCTCTTTCCCTTCTCTCTGTTCACTGAAATCTGCCAGAATTCCCCACAGGCCAGGCTGTAGCTTCAGGGTGATCAGAGCAAGGTAACCCGATCTGTGGTCTTGCCCATGGCCATGCACACGTAGGGGTTTCCTGCATTGACCAGTGGGTATTTGGCGGGGGTCTCCTTAAGCCCCACCCTCAGCTAGGTGTGAGCCTTGGCACGGAAACATTTGCTACTTGGGAGAAGGAAATTCACTCTGGGGCAAGGATGGCAGCGGCATCTAAGCAGGTCTGCAGCTGGCTGGTGACCCATGAGCCAGGCCATCTGGAAGGAGTCCCAGCCTGGCCTCGAGGTCCCGGGGGAGTCAGGCCCTGGGGCGCCCATTCATTTGTTCCATCATCCAGATAGGAACTATTTACCTTTAGCCTTGGTTTACTGCTTCTGAAGTGGGAATAGCAGTGTGATGGCTACTGAGGCCCCTGGGCTGACAAACAGGACAAGAGATGGAAGAACACTTTGTATCAGGGAGAAATAATTTCACACATGCACGCACGCACGCGCGCGCGCGCGTGCGCACGTACGTGAGATGTTAATTGTTTGCTGCACTTATAAGGTAGCTAAGAAGAGGCCTAACCATTTTGGACAAAATGGAATGCAAAGAGGTAAAGTGACTCATGTGGTGTCCCCGACTCTACGCTGGGGACATGTTTATCAAGCTTACTCACATATTCTGGGAGGTGGCAGTGTCATTCAGGAGTCAGACCTGTGGCTGGGGCCAGACCACCTGAGTTCACATCCTGGCTCTGCCACTGACTAGCTGTGTGGTCTTGGGCAAGTTACTTAACATCTCTGTGTCTCAGTTTCTTCCACCATAAGAGAAGTTCACTGAATTAAAACATCTGAACTGCTTAGCTCTTCGTTAGTGCTGAATGTTGTTGAGGATGGGAGAGCTCACTTTCCCCTGCCTTCAGTGGTGCCTGGGTGGACACGTGGAGAACGCACTGTAAGACAGCAGCGTGCTGACAGATCCATGTTTCTTTGTGGCCAGATCCACGGAGCCAGGCTGTAGGCACAGCAAATATCTGTAGAGCACATTAATGAATGAACTTATAAATGAAAGCCATGCAATCCATTCCCTTCTGGGCTCAGAGTCAGATTTTTTCTCTCTTAGCTATTGTTACATCATAAGGAAAACCTTTGCCCTGTTCTATTACCCATTCCTTTCTCTTCCTTCCCTCCTATCAAGAGCTAGAGCTACTTCTGGTTTACTCACGGATGGTTTATGTGACTTTAAGTTCACTGCTGAGCATCTAGCGGCTTCCATTTCTCTGACCATTTCCTCCAAAATACAGAAGTGCCTGTTGCCACCCTCCCCCCATGAGCACCCACCCACCCACTTCCAGCCCAAAGCCAGGTCTTGGAGATTCTCCCTTCTGCACGGCTCCTAGATCAGCCCTGTCAGCTCCTGAGCCCTTCCTTAGCTGACCTGGCTTATTGAACCACCTGGGCTCCCTGCTCTATCCGCCCCCGCCGCCGGGGCCTCCTCATTTCACCTATCCAAAGCTGACAGTCATGCAGCCTACAGGGGCTCTCCATGATCCCAGATCTGGCCTGAGCCCTTTGCAGGATTCATGACCTTTCGTGTCCCACCCGGCCAATCTGTGTGGAGTGTCCACCACAGAATGCGCAGTGGAGTACCTTGGAAATCTTTCGATGTCAGGATATTCAAGTGTAGATGGAACTGGCTCGTCCTTCGTAACCACCACACACGCGACATTCTACACACAATATCGCCAAGCTTACTTAGCCATTCCCCAAGCACTGGACAGCGGGTGGCTCCCAGCTTTCCACTGTAAAAATTATCCTGCAGTAAAAATCCTTGTGCACATAAAAAGGCATCCCCTCAGGACAGAAGCAAAGAAGTGGGATTGCTGGGTCATAGGCTGTGCCTGTTTTTGCCCTAGTGATCTTAGCCACTTGTCAGAGTGCTGTGTCCTGCCCAGTCAGCTGTGCACAGCTCACCTGCAGTCTCCTCCACCCACAGACTGACCTGCCTGGGGGCCAAAAGGCCCAGCCACCCCATCCTTAGCTTCATGCCACCACCTGAAGAGTCTTCCCAGCCCTGCCTCTAGTCCACGGACAGGTGGCTGCTTCTGCACATGGGCTGTAATTACCCACCTCCTCCTCCCCCTGCCCTGGGCTGGGAGGTCCCCAGGAGGGGCAAAGGCTTCCTCATCGTATTTATGTCTGGGTTCCCAGCACTCTGTAGTGACTCAGCACATCTTCCATCGTCTGGAAGAAAAGTGCTGTACCTCAGAACCACCAGCCTCTATTCTCCTGCCCTAGGCTCCTGCCGGCCACATTCAGCCTGTGTTTTAACCGCACCTCACCCAAGGCCTAAAACGCTACATCTCACTGAGCAATCCCAAAAGAATCCAAGCACCTGGGAGGGTCACAACCCTTTACTGAAGGGATAATCAGGGACCTAGAGGGCCTTACATCACACCCCACAGAAAACCTACCTGCACCTGCATTTCAGATGGTGTCCCTGAGCTCTCCTCGGCCTGGCCTCCATCAGAGCCTCTCCCTGCTGTCTCCTCTCCCTGGGCTGGCCCAGTGGCTCCTCTGAAGGCCTCCCAGCTTACCCCTGGGTGTTTCAAGCCCCCTCCCTTTCCTCCCTCCAGCCTCCCACCTGAACTCATGCTGACACTCAACATAACCAAGGACATCCAGGTACCAGGACCAGGCTGAGCGCCCTTGTCTGCCCCATACCCACTCACATTCCATCTTCCGGACATCCACAAGGTGTACCCTGGGAGGAACGGGCCTGCAAAACGGGGCCATTGTGAAAGGGAGGCCGCGGAATACCCAACACTTCGGGTTAGGGACTTGTGCCTGGAGGGCTCCCAGCTAGGAAAGTCTGTTCAGCCCAACAGCTGAGGGGGGTAGAAGGTACCGGACAGTCAGGGTTGCAGTGGGCGGAGGTGGGGCACACCCCCATCCAGTCCCCACATCTGGACTCCCCAGGCGGACACGTTCATCATCGAGGCTGCTGACCTGGGTGTCATCTACAAGATCAAGCTCCGCCACGACAACACCAAGTGGTGTGCAGACTGGTATGTGGAGAAGGTGGAGATCTGGAATGACACCAACGAGGACGAGTTCCTGTTCCTGTGCGGGCGCTGGCTGTCCCTGAAGAAGGAAGACGGGCGGCTCGAGAGGCTCTTCTACGAGAAGGTGCAGGAAAGGCAGTGGCGGTGCGGGGTGGGGGGACTTGGCTCAGCCACGGCTCGCCCCCATCCTCGTGCCTCGTACTCTGGCAGAAGGTGCCAGAGCTGTAGTGGGTGGGGCGGGGCTCTTCCGGGCAGGAGTACACTGGGGACCGGAGCAGCAACTGCAGTAGCCCCGCTGACTTCTGGGAGATCGCCCTGAGCTCCAAGATGGCCGACGTGGACATCGCCGCAGTGACGGGGCCCATGGTGGGCTACGCGCAGGAGGGCCCGGGTAAGCCAGGCAGGGAGCTCAGAGGAGGAGGGGCAGGCGCCCGGACATGTGTTTAAGCAATTCTCGGACAGGCCGTGCGTTTGCCCCACCATCATCTGCCTTCTACCTAATGCTTTATAATTCACACAGACCGCCTGTTTCCATCCCCACAACAACCTGCAAGGGCAGCCGTCAGCCCTGTTGCAGAAGGGGGAACAAAGGCTAAGAGAAGTTAGGGGAATGATGCCCTTAATCCACTGACCCACCACCAGGAGGGCATCATGGTATACTCTACCCTCGCCCAGACTCACAGGATATAGATTCAGCCCCGAGTGCCTGGGACAGTTCTCATCAGACAGAAATCAACAGCAACAGTGAGGATCCCCTTGCATGTCAGTAGAGCATCACATGGAAGACTTCAGCCACGCAGACTTAAGGCACAGTGTGTGATGTGGTGAGGAAGGGGGAAAAGTCCTAAGATGGCTTTATGGGATTTAAGTTCCATTTCTGGTTCTCACAAGAATGTATGTAGCCTTCGACAAGTCACTCTTTTGGCCTCAATTCTTCCCTCCTCCATAAAACAATATTGTAATGCCCCGACAAGCTCATTTTTCCAACCAGATTTTTGAGATAAAGCAGTTCTGTGTTTGTTTATCTGACATTTAAGGTCACCGCCTATCTGTTCAGCTGTCTTAAGTATAGAGCGTGACAACCACTCTATTCCCCTCCAGGAGACCACGTTGGGAGGGGGGGTGTCTCTGGGGCTGGGCAGAGAGAGTCAATCATTTTATATTCTACCTTTTCACTCTGTGAATAAATGACAGGACCCACAAGAAAGTGCTTCTCCTGAATTAAGCACTATGATCAACTGTGAAAGGCCAAGGAGGCTAAAGATGAAATAAGACTGTGGGCAGGTGCAGAATTACAATGCTGGTAATTCCAGCCAGGAAGGGCTAGTTTGGAAACTTTCAGAGAGATACAAATTGCACAACCTATAACCATATTACCTATAACCTATACCAGAGCATTGTCTCCCAAGATATTGAGGAAGATGATCCCAGAAAAGGGTTTCCAATTTGTATCAGTAACTGTAAGTGACCGAGACAAGATAGCGGCTTAAACAAATGAGGGATTTTTCTTTTCTCTCACATAAAAGTTCAAAGGTAGGCAACTGGGACTGATACAGCAGGTTCCAGTGAAGTCAGGGACTTCCATCCTAAAGGTTGTCCATGGTTCCTAGATGACTGCTGGAGCTCCAGCCATCGCATCCACATTCCAAGCAGAACGAATGGAAGGGTAAGGGGCAAAAGGGTGCTCCTCCCAGCTGAGTCAGAAATGTCCCCGGAAACCCACCCAACAATATCTGCTTACATTTTATGAAGCACCCCTAGCTGCAAGAAGAATGGATATTTGCTGGGCAATTAGAACTCTGCGCTGCACTACCCGAGCAAGGTTTTATACTGATTAATCTGGTCTGTTTTAGAAATGGATGCCTTCTAGAGCTTTCATTTACCATGTTATACATATAATGCTATTTTATTTTTCTTCCCCAAATTCCTACTTTCCGTGAGACCTTGTTTTTTCCAACCTTATTTTTGCTGACTACAGAAGGGCTATTGGTCTTGCTCTACTTCACATGGGAGTGCTAGGTGCAACTGAGATCATTGGTCAGCAGGGCTTTTAGAAGTGGCAAGGATGCTCTTTTAGGATGATCTTCACTTGGGTGATAACGATCTCTCATTCCCTGGAGAGTAGATGCTCACCATAGATCATTCACCAGTCTGGAAAGTTCTGTTTCACTTTGTCCCAGAGGCAGGGAGCTGAGATCTGTGCTCTCCAAAAGTCATTTCCAAGTCTATGAGCCTACCCGTGTCCACTTGGCCCCATAATCTCTTGCAGTGATTCCCTACCATGTGTCGGTCACCACCGGGAAGCACAAGGATGCGGCCACCGACAGCCGGGCCTTCATCTTACTCATTGGGGAGGATGATGAGCGCAGTAACCGCATCTGGCTGGACTTCCCCCGGGGGAAGAAGGGCTTCAGCTGTGGCTCCGTGGAGGAGTTCTATGTTGCAGGCTTGGATGTGGGCATCATCAAGAAAATAGAGGTGCTGGCCCCCAGGTCCTGGGATGGTGCCCACCCCCAGGGAAGGAAGGAGCTGACCAGGACATAGCAGGTGGAGGTGTAGAGGGCAGGCAGAGTAACTGACTTGGAACCCCACCTCAGACCAGGTCATGAGGGAAGGTCCCCTGGCCTCTGCCATCAACTAGGTGACCTTGAATGAGCCACTGCCCTGCCAGGTCTCCGTTTTCCACCCACCTAATGGGGATGCCTGGTGTGTTAGTTTTCTGTTGCTATGTAACAAATTACCACAAACTTAGCGTAAGATCACATAGATATATTATTTCCCAGTTTCCCGGGTCAGGAGTCCAGATGTAAGTTAGCTGGGTCCTCTTCCAAGGTCTCACTGGGCTGAAATCAAGTTGCTGCTAGGGCTGTGGTCTCCTCTGAGGCTGGGGGTCCTCTTCCGAGTTCACTGGTCTTTGGCAGAATCCATTTCCTTGCAGTTGTAAGACTGGGGCCGCCAATTCCCAGAGGCTGCAGGCCTCCCCTGTCATGTGACCTTCTCCACAACATGGCTGTTTTGTCAAGGCCAATAAGACATGATCTCTTCTGCTTCAAATCTCTCTGACTTCTCCCATCTCTGACATCTGGACCCTCTCTTAAAGGGCTTGCCTGATTAGGTGAGGCCCACCCAGAATAATCTTTTGATGAACTCAAAATCATCTGATTAGAGACATCTATTTCATCTGCAAAACCTCCTCACCTCCATGGGAGGGACCTGGGTCATGGTGCGCAGAGCATATTAGGAGGAAGCAATGAGGAGGGAGGGTGCAGAACAGGGAAGGGGAGGCTGAGTGGCGAGGGCTTCCTTCCCAGTTTTACCCAGACCCTCACGGCCCTGGTGTGTCCCCTCCCAGCTGGGCCACGATGGGGCCTCCCCCGAGAGCTGCTGGCTGGTGGAGGAGCTCTGTCTGGCTGTGCCTACCCAGGGTACCAAGTACACGTTGCGCTGCAACTGCTGGCTTGCCAAGGACCGAGGCGACGGTGTCACCTCCCGCGTCTTCGACCTCCTGGATGCCATGGTGGTGAATATTGGGAAGAAGGTATAGAGAGGGGCCTGGGTGTGCATATGTCATGGCGAGGGCTGTGCAGGGTGTGGGGGAAGAGCAGAAGTGAGGGAAGCGGGCGACTCATCGCTGGGCCACTGGCAGGGGCTGCAGCCTGGTATACCAGCCAGACACCCTTTGCTAAGAGCCAAGAGACTCGAGTCTCTTTGGGTCTGCTGCTATGTGACCTTGGCCAAATCGCCTTGGTCTTCTCATACAGTCCATGGAAATAATGCTTTCCATCCTGTTCCAGGTAAGATCTTGATGAGAACAAATGAAATCATGAACAGTCTGTGAAGAGTTTTGCAAGCTCTGCATAGATGTGCAGAGTTGGGTTTTTTTGCTGTTTTTTTTTTTTCTCTAAAGTCTCCCTCAACACCCAAGGACAGTGGTGGGGCAAGATAGCATTTGGGATACCATGTGCCTCGGAGTCTTGCAGTACAGTGAGAGCTGCCTGCACGAGACCCTCTTTAGGGCAGGAGCTGTGAGCTCCTGTCCTGGCTCCACCTCTAACTGGTCAAATGACCTGGGGCGAAGTTGTGTGAACTCACAAGTCAGTGCTGGGTGCCTGAGTGCTGGGCCCAAGGATACATGGCCAGTTGGTGGCTCAGATGGCCCTGGTTCATGCGACCCTACAGGCTTCTCTTTCCCTCCGAAAAGCTGTGGGGTCAACAGGATGCTCCAGCCCTCCTCATCTCTGTTCCTGAATCCAAACCAATGGGCTATAGATTTAGGTCAGAAGGTGTCCCACAAAGATAAGAAGAAATCACCCTGGACCTGAGTGTGCCCTGCTTATATTGTATATGGAAACAGAAGGAAGGGCTGAGTTTGGGGCTCTGAGAACCTTGACAGGCAGGAGTATGGATGCCTGCCCTTCCCCTGCTTGAGAGCCAGAAAACAGAACTTTCTATAGCATAGATACACTCCCCCCACAACTTACCCAGACATCTCCATCTGTGGCTAGACGGATGGTGTGGGTGAGCACACAGTTCATCCAGGGACCTCTGTCCTGACCCAGTTCCCAGCATGCATGTGGGCGTGAGTGTGTCTGCGTGCATGTCACCGCCCCCCCCCCGCCACATGCACACCCCACTCAGTACAGCTGTATCTCCCCCGAGCCCTTTAGTCTGTGGAAATGCAGACCCACGCCCCTATTATTCATGTTACAAAAGAACACAGGTTTATCACTTTGCAAAGAACCACAGGCTTCTTTGGACTGGCCATCTCCCCAGGAGATATCAGACCAGAATTACAAAAGCTCCATTTCTGTGTCTCTTTCTGGAAACAACCTATTACCTAAAAAGAGACGTCTCTGTGTAAAGGAGAGAAAGATGGGCCCAGAGAGCACGGCAGTCTGGAGGGACTAGCCTTAAGGGGCCAGTCTCGATGGGGTCACCAAAGTACTCATTTTGATCTTTCTATTTTTCATGCCTGTCTGAATAAGAGCAAAAAAGTGTCAGGCTCCTGCCTTCATTCCCAATAGCTCCTGCTGCCACCACGATACCCTGTTAAGGTCTGAGAGGATCTTCCTGATAAAGCAAGAGGCTCTTCAATCATTACCTTGGCAAACAAGTACTGAACTTGTCCTCTGGGCCAGGCCTGCAAAGACCACTCCTAACCTCATAGTATCATGGCAAAGATCCTAGATGCTGATTGAAATGCACCCAGCACCCAACCCGCACAATGTCGGGAACATGATCACTGTGACAAATAACTTGGGTTCTGAGTTCGAGGGCTTCTGGCTAGTGGGGACCGGGTGAGAATGCAGTGCTGCAGTCTCAGGAGAAGGGAAGGGCCAGCTGGGTTCAGAGGAGATGGTCAGCCTGGCATTTCCGTGGCCAAGTGTGCAAACCTCTCCTGAGCCATCGAGACCTATGCTAGTCGTTGGGCACCTGGCAAGAGGGAATGGAGTAAGAAGCCAGAGGACGCTCCAGAGCACAGGTAAAGGTGGCCCCTCTTGCCACACAGGCTGCCTCTGGAGAAAGAACCAGTGAGGGCACCATGCAGGGAAGAGCAGGCTGCCCCCTCCCCCTCCGGTGGAGACAGACGAACACTTCCTCTTTGGAACAAACCTCAGGCAAAAGGGCAAAATCCCAACCTGAAGAGCAAATCATGGAATCAGTGCGTGTCCTCCAAATGTCACTGCTCACGGGCGCTCACGGCGTATGCTGGCTGTGCCTGATGTGGGGATGGACCTGGGGCTGTGCTTGCTGACCCACAGCACATGGCAGGCCCGGCATGGGCTCCCAGTGCACTGCTGAACGGTCTGCAGCCCTCACTCCTCCAGACATCTATCCCTGTTTCTCAGGGGAGGAAGCAGAGCCTGGCCAGGGTGTGGGGCCTGCCCAAGTTCGACAGCTGGCTGGTGGCAGGCCCAGGGAACAAGTGGCGTGCTGGATGACTCCAAAAGCCACCGTCCTGCCACCGCGTGCTGCTCAATTGCATGAGCTCAGGCTGGGGTTTGGTTGACAAATTGGGGGATTCGGGGGCTTTCAGTCGTGCTTTTGGTGCACACGTGTTCTCTGTCAGAGACTGAACTCCTCTCTAGCACCGGGCTGGACATGGCCAAGGACACAGAGGGACAAGGCCCGACTCATGTTCTCCAGGCATTAGCAGTTGATCAGGGGAAGGGCTCTTTTCAGAGCCACAGGGCTTGGAGGACGTCTGGCCCTGGGGAGAGTGAGGCAGGCCAAGGCTCAGGGCCCGCATCCCTCTCCTGGCAGGTGCTCTATGAGATGACAGTGTGGACGGGTGACGTGGTCGGCGGTGGTACTGACTCCAACATCTTCATGACCCTCTACGGCATCAATGGCAGCACAGAGGAAGTGAAGCTGGACAAAAAGAAGGCCAGGTATCCAGGGACGGCCTCTGCCCCTCGCCCCTCTGCACATCCAGTCCCCCAGCCTCTAATCCCACCCTGCCTCAATCAGACTGCTTCCCTCACTCTCTCCCCTCATTCCTTAGGGCCTTCTAGCCTCCACAGCTTTATTCATGTGATTCCTCCCTCCTGGAATGCCCTTCATCCATTCTCTTCTGTCTCAGGACCTTTCTCTTCCAGGGGCCAGCTCAAATCTACCTCCTCCAGGAAGCCTTCCTTGATCACCTCAACCCAGAGCATGCTCCTTCCTTCCTGCCTTCCTGCCTTCCTTCCTTCCCTCCCTTCTTCCCTGTATCCTTCCATCCTTCCATCCCTCCTTCCCTCCCTCCATCACTTAAAAATGTTTATTGTAAGGCCCGTATATTAGTTGATAGCATTGTATCCTTGTGAATCTCCTGCTTTCGTTCCCTGTACCATGGTGATGTAAGATGTTTACATTAGGGGAAGCTGAGTGAAGAGAACACAGAAACTCTGTTCTATTTTTGCAACTCTCCTACAAGTCTAAAATTATTGCAAAATAAAAAGCCAAAAGAATTTTTTTAATATTAAAAAAGGATTGAACCCCTAGTATGTGGTAGGCACTGTCTCAGACACAGGAGACCGAGTATAACCAGAAGATGCCCGAAGCCACACAGCTCAACACCTGGGGAACCGCAGCAACAGCGTGAACACTGGAGTGACCTTACCGCATGCCCGGCATTTCTCTAAGCCCACTGAGTGTATTGACGCAGCTCGTCCTCCCTGCGGCTCTATGAGGATCATTTTTATCATCCCTTTTTGATAAGAGAAAACTGAGACACAGCAAGGTGAAGTCATGCTGTCGAAGGTCACATGACCAGCAGGCTGTGGCACTGGGAGCTGCAGCTGGGGTCCCTAGTCTTATGTATGAGGTTCTACTGCCCCAGTGAGCAAGTGGGTGCTAGGCCCTTTCCCAAGGACAGCCTTTTGTTGGGGGGGCAGGGAACAGAAGGAAACCAGAACAGGAGAGGATTGAGGGGCAGCCAAAAGTTGCCTCCCCAAACACCACCTCTTCAGTTGCTGAGTAGAGGCTCCTCTGAGCAGATGAGCAGAGCAAACTCTGGACCACTTTGGCAGCCCTGTTTTTCTGAGCCAGAGGCAAGGGGATGTGGATCAGAGGCTGACAGCCTCTCCCAAGGTGGCCCCTCAATGCAGGAGCCTTCCTGCGTGTCGGCTGAGGTGTCTTGAGGGGGTCTGGGGCAGCAGGAAAGATGTGGGTAGTGAGTCGTGGAGGGATAAAGGGCCATGGAGGGGCTTTTGCTTTGGATGCGGGCCTTTTACCCTGAGAAAAGGAGGTCCATCCAGGTGTAATTGGGGGTCTAGCCTGTAATAAAGGGTGAGGGGACAGAGTCATCCACTCTTTAGTCTTCTAGAAGAAAAGCTTATTTCTTTCTCCCTTTTATACCTGCCCCACCAAAAAATCTCCATAAAATGGGAATACTTGGGTAAATTCAAAGGGTGAAAATTAAAGAGAAACACAAAGCAAAGAATTCTAAAGTTCCCTAGATCTGCAAAATTATACACCTGGTGAGGAATCAACTAGTTGAAAGATTGAGAGAATCTCAGTATGTGATATGAGCTTGACAAGGGAACTTGTGAACACCTCCTTCTAGTTTCCACAGGGCCAGGACAGGCAGGGCTTAAATTAGAACAGGAGGGATTTAGGGCAGACTTCTGGGAGAATGTTTTCACTTCTAATCATCATAAAATACACGAGTAAGTTATTAAAAAGGATTAGGCCTCTGTTCCACCACTGCCTCTAAGACAAGGAGTAGTTCTTGGTTTGCAGCGTTTTCAGTCCCAGCCCCCGCTGGCTGT